CATAACTGGAGAAAAATCTTTCTAGCATTGATAACTTTTTTATAGTATACTTAATGGCATACTTTCATAGGAACATATTACAGGAAGAAGTTTATATTTGAACTTTATAATCATGACAAGGAAGACTACATGGAAATTGAGAATAAAATATACTGTAGTAAATATTAGTTCTGAGCTTTTTGAAATTCAATTTGTTTTTGTAAGCTTGGGGCACAAATGAGATCTGGGGGAAGCTTTTCAACACAACATATTTGCCATCAAATTTTTGGTTACAGCATCAATCCAAGAAAATTGCCAATGCTGTTTTCTCTGTGTCTTACTGTTTAATAATTAAAATACCTTTTCCCATGGGATGCCTAGGTGACTCAGTCAGTTAAGCATCCAGCTCTTGATTTTGGCTCAGGTCCTGATCTCAGGGTCATGAGACCAAGTCTGCATCGGGCTTCGCCTGGCATGGAGACTGCTTAGAATTCTCTCTCTCCCTTTCCCTCTGCCTCTCCCCACCCCACTCATGCTCTCTGCCCACCCCTCAACAAAAATTAAACAAATAAAAAATAATAATAATAAAATAACCTTTTCCCAATTATGTGACATACTATGAAGGATGTTTTCTAACTTTTAGATTTTATGTAAAGTTTAATTCAAAACTAGGTATGAAAAGGACACTTGAAATTTGTGTGTGTGTGTGTAAGTGTGAATTCACAAACTTTATAATGATGATTTTCAATGTTATTGTGAGAAATTACAATGGAGATAAAAGATCACTAAGTAATTTTTATTTCAGAAAATGTGTCAAGTCATTAGATATTTCATTTGAATACCTTTTTTGTCACTTTTTGACTGGGAATTCTCTTACTGAGAGTTTCCTGCTGGTATAAACTCTAGGATTGTTTTAACCAATTCTATCAAACTACTAAGTCCAAATATAGCTTCCCCCATTGTATGAAAAGTTCTGTTATAGGGATGCACTGACAAAAACTACTGGACAATTCTCAGCATTGTGAATAATTGCTGAGATGCAATGATACACTTACTCCATTAAAGCACTGGCCAACTGTTAACCTGTCTCAATACTGAGATTACCTAAATCCTTGAGTCTGGGGCGGTGGGACTCTTTCAAATACTTGAATCTGGGGTGAGGAGTAATCCTTGTCCTAACTAAGACTCTGATTTCCACTTCGGGTGCACCATGAACGATGGAATTCGGCAATCCATAAAGACACAAAATGTGTTCCCGGGTATAGATGCAGAAATAATCATTTTACTTTTCACATATGTCAGTCAGAGGTATAAGTTCTGTTTCACAGTCTTCCAGTGATCCTTCCCCTATAATGTACCATTCTCAACATTCATCAGCATACTTAGAGGGCTTACTGGAACAGATTATTGGGCCTTACCTACAGAGTTTCTGATTCAATAGGTATGGGATGGGAGTGAGCATCAGCATTTCTAACAGGTTTCCAGGGCATGCTGATGCTGATGCTCCAGAAAGGACACCAGGAGAATGATTGCTTTGATCTGACTTTCTCAGTCAGATTCTCAAATCTTCAATCAGAACCTCCTGGATTGCCTAGGAATCTTCAGATCATCAGGACCTATGATGATGACCTAAATCCAAATCTCCAGGGCAGTGTGATAATGATTTGCCTTTTGTCAAGCTCCTTAGGTGTTCCAGGTATACATCTACATTTGAGAAGCAGTTCCAGGGGAGGGCCAGGGATACTGTTAGCGAGAGAAAACGATACTGTTAGCCAGAGAAAACATGATCATGTCTCCTCTCAAACATTGCCAATGTTATACCCATGGATTGGCATCTAGTAGTTGTTTTTTTTTTTTTTAAAGATTTTATTCATTTATTTGACAGACAGAGATCACAAGTAGGCAGAAAGGCAGGCAGAGAGAGAGAGAGAGGAGGAAGCAGGCTCCCTGCTGAGCAGAGAGCTTGATGCGGGGCTTGATCCCAGGATGCTGGGATCATGACCTGAGCCGAAAGCAGAGGCTTTAACCCACTGAGCCACCCAGGCTCCCCTCTAGTAGTTGTTTTATATATAGTAAATGAATTAATGAAAATGAATGAATGCAAGCAATCAGTTGGTATTCATTCCTTTTTGTTTCCAGCACCTTTTCTTTATTCTACTATAGAATATATCATCCATATTTCAACTACTTGTTTACTTGACTGCCTCCATCTAGACAGATACCTTATCTTTTTGTTGTATCTTCAGGGCCAAACCCAGCACCTGGCACCTAATATGTATATTATCAGTATTTGTTAGAGTAAATGATTGTAAATGTTGAGTAGAATATCTCTTCGGATTGGTCTGAAAAAGATGTGTGAATTGTTAAATTCCCTTGATTTCTTTGAATATACATTAAAATGTAGGAAGAGGAGGGCCAGCACAGTGGATTCAAGTATAATGTGAAGACTGAGACCAAGGCTAGAAAAGCCACAGGCAAGTGTGAAGGAGTAAGGTGGTACCAAGATACAGCATGACGTCAGGGGTCTGGAACATAAAACATTACATGTTCAACATATATATGCAGTTGGAACAATGACATTTTTGAGGTGAAGAGAATAAGTGGGGGAACAAAAAGTGGATTATATAGGTTTGATGAAGCTAGTGTGTGCTAAGAATTTTGTGGGTGGTCAGAAATGAGAACATGAAGGGATATAAAAAGGATTAGAACATGGCAAATGAAGTCAGGCACTTCATCCATTCCAAATTACAAATTACAGCCTCCCTGAACAGATTTATAGTTCCCTGGTTTTTTGTTTCTGTTTTTAAGATTTATTTTGAGAGAGAGAGAGCATGTGCATGGTGGAGTAGGGGCTAAGAGAGTCTGAAGTGGACTCTGCTGAGCGTGGAGCCTAAGCCAATCTCTGTCTCTCTACCCTAAGATCAGGACCTCAGCAGAAACCAAGAATCCAATGTTCGACCAGCTCTGTCACCCAGGCACCCCTATCCTGTTTTTTAATATAGTCTTTTTTTTTTTTTAAAGATTTATTTATTTATTTATTTATTTGACAGAGAGGGAGAGATCACAAGCAGGCAGAGAGAGAGAGAGAGAGAGAGAGAGGAGGAAGCAGGCTCCCTGTTGAGCAGAGAGCCCAATGCGGGGCTCGATCCCAGAACCCTGGGATCATGACCTGAGCCGAAGGCAAGGGCTTTAACTCTCTGAGCCATCCAGGTACCCCTGTTTTTTAATAGCCTTGTTTAATTTCCTATTCCGTGCTTCCCAGACTTATCTCCTGGATTTCAGTCCTCTCCTTATTGTACTCATAAATCACCTGAATTTTCAGTCTTTTGTCCAAACGACCTAGATTCCTCATCTTTAGTCCATTCTGTTCTTTGAGATCTGTGTGTATTTGTACTGGATTGGCTGCCACCATGTGTCTTCCAGTCATGGGCTGGTGCTGGTCACGATCATTTTACTTTAAGTCTGTCTGGGGTTGTAAGGTCCGTGCACTAGATTGGTAAGTTTTGCCACTCAGTCCTTATAGTCCCTACTGTACTTTCCTTGTTTATATAATTTGGTGCCACCTGGCACCCTTTCCAAGAGCATGTAGGGACACGTTAGTTTGTACTTCTATTTCAGTTCTTTTTATTTAGAAATGAAATGCCAAAAAATTTCTAAGGACAATGGTTTTATGACCAACCAGAAGTTCAGAGCCTAAGAAGGTCTAAATCTTCTTTCAAATTATGTTAAGAATCACATTTCCAGAAGTTAATGCATATTAAAACCATACAAAGATCTTTTTAGTTTAGATTCTGGACTCAGAACACTAAAAGCAGGGTTTTTGTTTTCATTTACCAATTAAAGCTTTGGCATAACTCAAAAGTCATGAGGTATGTAAGAAATTATTCATGAATGTCCCACTCATTGCAGGACAACCAGCATTGTTTGATAAGCTGACTAAATACAAGGCACATCTCCCACCATATGGTATACCAAAACATGCGCACAATTTCCCAAATGCCCAGGAAAGGTTAATGCCACTTCTAAAGAGAACCATTGATTTGAACTATTCCATTTTCAATTTTGGGGATCGGGAAGTAACCCACAGAACATGAATCTTCAAAAGCTGAGCAAAATTGGCAAAAAGGAGAAAGGATGACTATTGGGTAAGCATCCACTAGTGTGTGCCACAAGAAATAAGCTAGACAATATCGTATAAGATTCTTTCTATGTATAAAGTTGGAACTATTTAATGTTACAAAAGGCAATATAAGTTTATTTATGTGTAAACAATAATCATGCATAATGGATATTTACATTAAGTATATTCATAAATCATGATTCAAAATTTTAAGGACATACTCAATTGGTAAATATAATAGGGAGAAGAACTCTTAAAGATAAAAGATACAAAATCAAGATATTTAAATCTAAGCTTGCAAAGAATAAATAGATGTCATGTGGCATTTTAGAATAATGTTAATTTGGACTAAAATTGTTCAATGTTTAATGTAAGATAATAGCATTTTTGATGTTATTGAGAACAGATGAAGTTAACACTATTTAATTCAAATTTACCTAATTAAAAAATTAAACTGCACATTATCTTGTATCTCATTTCTTTCTGAGAAATGGATATAGATACAATCTCTTATCCTTTCTCCTATGATTTTATAATGGATGACTAAGAATCACCTCTGAAGTTTCTAGCCTAGTCAATGGACCCAGTACGTTTAGTACATGTTTGCTTCATAAATAATTAAATGGTTTTAATGAAACATTTCAGAAAAGATTATATAGATCTAATGTAAGATTATTTTATTATTAATAGTTTTAATATTGAAAACAAATTTTTCTATGTATTTTTCTGAGTTCATTTACTCCAGATTATCTTACATAGATGAATACATATTTTTTATATGAAATACAGGTTTACGAAATGATGATAGAAGACTATGAATTAGTATATTAAAAGAACATGCTTTTCTATATCTTGCTGTCATTCTGATCATTTTCTCATGTTTTTGTTGTTCTTTTCGCAGGGATTCGATAAACAAGTGGATGTGTCATATATTGCCAAACATTACAACATGAGCAAAAGCAAAGTTGACAACCAATTCTATAGTGTGGAAGTGGGAGACTCAACCTTCACAGTTCTCAAGCGCTACCAGAATTTGAAGCCTATTGGCTCTGGGGCTCAGGGAATAGTTTGGTGAGTGGAATATATATATACATATTTATATATATATTTATTTATTTATTGAAGTATAATTAACATACAGTGTTTTATTAGTTTCAGGTATACAATGTATTCAACACTTTTTTTTTAAAAGATTTTATTTTATTTATTTGACAGAGAGAGATCACAGTAGACAGAGACAGGCAGAGAGAGAGAGAGAGGGAAGCAGGCTCCCCACTGAGCAGAGAGCCCGATGCGGGACTCGATCCCAGGATCCCGAGATCATGACCTGAGCCGAAGGCAGCGGCTTAACCCACTGAGCCACCCAGGCGTCCCAACACTTCTATACATTACTCTGCTCATCATGATAAATGCAGTCACCATCTGTCACCAAATATTATTTCAATCTTATTCACCATATTTTCTATGTTGTACTTTTCATCTCTGTGACTTCTTTATTTTATAACTGGAAGTTTGTGCTTTTAATCCCCTTTATCTGTTTCATCCATCCCCCTGCCAACCTCCCCTCTGACAACCACCAGTTTGTTCTCTCTATTTAATAATCTGGTTTTTGGTTGCTGTTTGTCTCTTTGTTTTGCTTTTTAGATTCCACATGTGAGTAAGATGGTATTTATCTTTCTCTGTCTGACTTATTTCACTTAACTTGTCTTTTTAAAGGCACTAATGCTGTGTTTGCCAACTAGCCACAAATGCACACACAAACATAAATAAATAGCATGATTTGAGGATTACAAGCATTATTTGTAATTCATTACCCATTTACTAAAAGTATGTACAACTTTGCTTGTCACTAGTCTTTCTACTCACCAAAAATGTCCATTACACAACCATGGAGAAACAAAGAAAGCCAGAGGTTTTCTATCTGTTGCTAATACATTTAGAAAATTTTATTTGGATGTTTATGAAGGTAAGAAATGAGGGGCTATGTGTTAAGATAACAAGCAAATAAAATTTCCTGCACTCTAAGAAAGTATAAATGATATATCAAGTGTTCCTGTCACTTTTAGAGTTCAATATTTAAAATTCAGTTACCTATTAGAAAAAGTGGTATTTAAAAATGTCTGTTATACATTTCCAAAATGGAAAGATTCTGGGCTCCCTTAGTAACCATTCTCTTATGACATTTTTGAGTGGCAGTCTAAAATGATGACAAATCAAAGCTTGATTACTTGTTATAAAATTCTTACGAAAGTGATGATACCAAATTGATAAGCATTTAGTTTACGCAGTTTTAACTTGCAGTGTAGCCATCAAATGTATTTAATGTGAACTTATTAACATAATAATTTTCAACTTGATAGCTCATACTTGTAAGTAAAAATTTAGCATGTACACCATAAATATGTATATTTATTTTTAGAAGATATTTACTTAGATCAATACACTTATTTGTTATATAAATTACTGTTACATTAGTGTTGTCCATTTGGAAACACAAACACTTTTAAAGGATGAGCTAAAGATGAAATAAACATTATTTAAAAACATATTTTGGGGTGCCTGGGTGGCTCAGTGGGTTAAAGCCTCTGCCTTTGGCTCAGGTCATGATCCCAGGGTCCTGGGATCGAGCCCCGCATTGGGCTCTCTGTGCGGCAGGGAGTCTGCTTCCTCCTCTCTCTCTGCCTGCTTCTCTGCCTACTTGTGATCTCTGTCTGTCAAATAAATAAATAAATAATCTAAAAAAAACAACATATTTTATTTATAACTTTTTTTCACTCATTTGGTACAATGTAATTTTGATATAGCAATGTGGTAGTGGTAGTGTTCATTATTTTTTAACCTTTCATTTTATATTTCATAAACAATTTTAAAATCTGGTTCACTTCATTTTTTATTTTTTTTTAAGATTTTTTTTTTAAAGAAAAATGGTTCACAATAAAATTGAGAGAAAGGTACAGAGATTTTCCATATTCCTCTATATTCCTCCTACCTCCACACATGCATAATCTCTCCCATCATCAACATTCCCCCACAAAAGTGGTACATTTACTACAATTGATACATTGATACATCATAATTACTAAAGCCCATAGTAAACATTAGGGTTTATTCCTGGTGTTGTACTTTCTATGGATTTAAACAAATGTAAAATGATATGTATTCATTATTATGGTATCATACAGAGTATTTCCACTGCCTTAAAAATTCTTTATACTCCACATGTTCATCCCTCCTTTTACTCCGAACTCCTGGCAACCATTGATCTTTTTACTGTTTCCATAGATTTTAAAGATTATTTATTTATTTGTTTGTTTGAGAGAGAGACCAAATGCAGTGGGGAGGAGCAGAAGGAGAGGGAGAGGCAGACTCCCTGCTTACCAGGGAGCCTGAGGCGGGGCTCTGTTGCAGGACACTGAGATCAGGACCTGAGCCAAAGGCAGACGCTTAACCAAGTGAGCCACCCTGGCACCATTTTATTGTTTCCATAAATTTGCCTTTTCCAGGATGTCATATAGTTGGAATCAAACAGAATATAGACTATTTAGATTGGCTTCTTTCACTTAGTAATATGTACGTCAGGTTCTTTCATGTCTTTTCATAGATTGATAACTCATTTCTTTTTGTCACTGAATATTTCAATGTCTAGGTATGCCACAGTTTATCTCTTCACCTGCTTTAAGACATCTTGGTTTGTTCCAGGTTTTGGTAATTATAAATAAAGCTGCTTTAAATATCCATATACAGGTTTTTGTGTGGACATAAATTTTAAAGTTTCACTTCATTTTGATAACAGGTTTTAAGTTCACTCTCAATGCTTAGTGAAAATGGCAGCAGTGCATGGTTGGTGCACTTCTAAATAATTTACTAGCATTTCAACCTGATTTATCAAATATACCAAAGCTTTTATTGAAATTTATGTCAATCAGTTGGTGTTTTTGCTATTAAAAACTGGAACAGTTTAATATTTTTAACAATGGATCAAAACTTTTATTTCAAAGATATTTAGGTAAAGAAATTCTTATTCTTAGTTTTTATTTATTTATTAGTTATGGTGAGGGTATGAGGTGAACCTCTTTGTGACACAAAATAATTTCTTGACAGGGAAGGCAGAATAATGGTCCCGCCAAAGACACCCAGACTCTAATCCCCCAGAATCCTTAACTATGTTATTTTATGTGGCAAGAGGGACACTGTGGATGTGATTAAGGTTAAAGGCATTAATATGGGGAGTTCATCCTGAGCTTTCAGGAGATAACAGTCTAATTAGATGAGTTCTTAAAAAGTGGAAAAGAAAGGCAGAAGAGGAGGTCAGAGAGATGCAGTGGGAAAGGAGAGATGAAATTTAAAACATGAGAAGGGCTTGCTTTATTGTTGCTGGCTTTGAAGACAGAGGATGAAGGTCATGAGTCAAAGAAGGGGGTGGCTTCTAGAAGTTGGGAATGGCTATCAACTGCCAACCAGCAAGAATACACAGACTACATTAGAGTCATGCAACCACAGGGAATTGGAATCTCCCAACAAACCCAAACAAACATGGAAACAGATTCTCCTCTAGCACGTCCAGAAAGGAATCAGTCTGCTAACATCCTGACTTTAGCCTGGTGAGGCCCACATAAGGACTTTGGACCTGCAGAACTGTCAGATAATAAATTCGTGTTGTTTAAGCAGTTAAGTTTGTGGAGGTTTGTTGTGCAGCAGTACTAATACAGACAGTATAATAAAGATTCTACTATTAAGTTAAATGCTGTAAATCTCTTAGAGCAGGCACACTGAACTATAATGTTTTCAGAGGAAGGAATTTATGGTGCCACTGTCAATCTCCCTCAAACTATGGAATTTCTTTTTTCCTTTCAAAAATTTTTTACCCTAGATAATATGAGACCAACTGCTAGAGGGGGATAATATGTGTTTGGGAGGGACCAATATTAATTTGTTTATTAAATATTAATAATTTTAATTTACTTTCTACGTTACAATATATGTTTATATTTTCTGCATTCTACTAGATGTCTTATATACTACCTGGGGAGTGGGAAATCTATTTAGGAAATCACTGCATTTATGAACAACTTTCAAAATGTAATAGAAGATAAGACAAAAAATTTTTTATGAAGGAGAAGAGACAGGAAATGGAGAAAGCAGAGGGATTTCTGGTTATCTTTCTTCAAAGGAAAATTGTAGAACATAGGAAAGTTTTGTTACATTTCTCAGTTCATACTCATTGGGATTGTTTTATTTTCCTTTTAACAAAACTGTCACAGAAAATGAGGACAGTAGTGAAAGTAAGATAATAGATTTTTAATGATTAAAATGATTGAAAAATAGACCCCAAACAACATTTTTCTCAAGAAGTTAGCAGACTGTCCCAGAAACATCTGAAAAGCTACTAAAAATTTTGTGGAATATTTTTGGGACATTTTGCTCTTCTATTTCTCCTTGTATAGGGCAGAAATCACCTTAGGTCTTAGGTATACTAACTGAAATAGATTTTAATAAATAAAATGTCCTTGAGTAAAATTTTTAATCTAGTTTTACAACAAGTTTATCAGCAGGTTTGTCAGTAAGGATACCTGAATTCCAAAATGTTAGCCTTGGAGTTTCCTGGGATTATTATTAGTCTTTTGGTTTATAGCTGAGGGAAATAGAGCTAGCAAAGACCAAGATGAAAGGATAAAAATAAGATGGCATATTCCTCTTCCTTATCTTCCAGCTCGCTACTCTACTTTGTGCATAGACACCACAATTCCAGCACATTCCTTTCCCGACATGAATATTGTTGTCCCTCTTTCTCAACATAGTTTAAGATATCTTTGTTTATTTATCATGACTTAGGTTAATAAGTATACTATTTCTCTTGAAGATCCATTCTTTTATTATTTTTTCCTCTCTATCTGCAGCCTTTAATTTAATTTCCTTTTTATTGCCTTTTGTCATTGGTGAGTTTATCCACCTCTCCTACATCAAACACACATCCATTTTCAGACATATTTCTAAAATCTACAGACCATTCTTCTGTTCATGAACACTCAAATTTGTGTATTTTGAATGTCCCATATAATCCTGAGTATAGT